TTAAACTAGCTTTTTGAAGAAAAACTGGTGAAGATTTCTGTATAATCCCGTACACGTACTATTGTAGAACAAAGCCGTACTCCCAAAGATAATCTATCGATCGTGTTTAATCTATCTGCTGTCGTCGTTGTTGTTGTTTTTTTTTAACCTAAGAACTGCATGCTAATGATGTATGGGTTGACAAAAGTCCAGCTGCCTTAGAAAAAAACATTTCTGGCGGTTAAAATGGGGTGTGTGGGAGAGATTTAGTATCCTGGATCTGTTTTCAGATATGTTAAGCCTGTAAACATGCGGTTGTCTTTATGTAACGATGACATTGCGCGACAATGGATTGTACGTTCACAATAATTAATGTGCCGGCATGATGAGATCACGAAGGTTTTTTCCGAGATCGAGAGTCAAGGCTACTTTTCCTCATATTCTCAAAAAAAAAAAATTCTTAGAATATGTTTGATCTGGCTTCATTTTCTTCCGACTGCGCTAATAACTGACCTAGCGGACTGCAAACTTGACTTGATTAATAAAGGCTCTTCTCTCGACCGTCACAGAGAGGTTAGCGCTGAAGAGACGTTATTGAATTAAAACTAGCTTTAATGAAGCAAAAAAGTTTTATCCTCGACCGCAATTTCAGTCTAAGTTCTGACTTTTACACGAAAGCAACTCTGTCAATAAACACTTAACTCCTGTGTCTCTTTGGAATCGCGTGGTATCATATGTTAATGAAGTAAGACACGACACGACACGAACGTAGGACAAAGTGAACCCCGTGAGGAATTGAACTTCAGACCTTCGGATTCCGTTGTCTGACGCTCTACTACTGAGCCACAGAGACTCTTCGGTGAGCTTGGCAATTAACTTGGTTAATTCAGAGGTAACACACGTCCCTGTATTTATGATTAAATTTCGTCTCAAATATCACCCAGAAAGGAAACTAAAGCTTTGCAAAATGTGTAGAAAATATGCACTTTTACCTCAGTTGAACATTGAATCTCAGAGTTTCTCTTGTAGTGAGGTAAGGGTCGCTGATCACATGCAATCACTCCTTGGCAGAAGATAACAAACGAGTGAGTCGAATGCGCTTGAATACATTAAAATTAATTATTAGAGTCAATTATACCAAACTATCCAGTGGTGAATGCCCAAGTAAAACGCTCGATACGAAGCCCGAGTGAACGCTCCTCGAGCGTTTAGTTTAATTATTACTGAATAGCGTACTGCTGCTTCTGACGTATGCTTGCGGTTTTTTGCTTTCTTAATCAATCAAAAACTTGAATATCTAAACGTTCTTATTTATTTCCATAAATGTTTGCTTGAGCGCTTTTAAGATACCAAATAGTGCAAACACTTGATGTGTATGAATTTGCTCCAAACAAGCTTGTATCCCACACCTACACACACACAAAAATAATTAAACAAATAAATAAAAACGCTTGCGAGTATTTTTTCAAAACACGCATATGATCAGTCCGTTAAGCGTCGCAGCATGTCTCGCATACTTGGGCTCTAGACTCATTTAAGGGGTCATCAGTTTCTTCTTCATCACTATTTAATGAATCATTTTCTTTGCATCAAACTCCAAAGCAGGATCACTATCTGTTGTTACATTGTTTGATGTAGCTTGTTGATGTGTATCATTATCATCTGCATCATTTTGTAAAGTTGTGAGGTTGCTATCAATATTGTTAATATCAACTAGTATATCTTTGTATAATGGATTATGTACTTTGAGCCAGTTAAGAACTTGCTGTATTAACTCTGGTCGTGATGCTTGAAAATAAACATGTCTTCTAGATTGTAAGTTTCTTTTAAGCTTAAGCATTATTATACAAGATCTATTAGGTGGATGAGGGAGTTGATTATATGTCTGATCACATTCTATAAATTGGGTACATTGCATACTGCACCTTTAATTTTTCTCTGCTGTCCTTTATGCATGGCCACAATCTTCTCAAACTATTCGTTAAGCTATTCGTATTTGTTCTAGTTTTTCTAACGAGGATAGTTCTGAGGGTATTTCATCCACATACATATTTAATTCACTACAGCCTGACATGAAAATTTTCCTTTTATGACCTTTGAATGACATGTGTTGCATATACACTGTTTTCCATCAAATGACTGTTGAATATTGAAATATGTTTGGCAAGGGTACTTCTTGTTTATGCATGTTATTGCTGATTTCTTATAAAGTATTTGATTACAGACAGTACATATGAAATAAGGGCCTTCTCTTATTTTCCTCTTAAACTGGTTAATACACAATTCAACCCATCTGGCTTTCTCTAATTTCTCATTGGGTTGGGAAAGTAATTATAGCATCTATAGTTGAATATTTTCTTTCAATGTCTTCGAGAAACCTTTTTTGGCAACAGTTTCCATGATGTGTTTCCTTTCAATTTCAGTAATTTTACATGAACAGCAGATAAATTGTATATCATATTCCATAGTCTGACATTCCAGTTTATTTTGAATAATATTAGTAATTTCCTCTACTAGTTTATCCACAAAGAGTAAATACTTACAGAAAACCTCTGTCCAGAACCACAGGTCTCTCTACCAAAAGAATACTTTGTTTAAGTTTGATGCTTTAGGTACCTTGCTTTATTTACAAAATAATTAACATTGAAGACATCAGTACATACATATTAACACAACTGCCAAAATTTGTTTCAGCCAGAAACTTGTTTATTTTT